CCCCCCCTCTCTCTCTATGCGCGTTGGTGTAATAAATGTCTAATGTAGAGTTTGACCTTCCCTGTGTTTCGCTGTGCTCACTGTTTTTCTTGAACGACTGGGTATGCCTGTCGCAAACTGCTAGAGATGTTGGTCGGTTAGGCAAGAGTTTGAAGTTTGAAGTTCCCCTTCAAACAACTTGATGTGAAGGTTGTGTCCACCCTAATTTTTTAAACCACCACTCCGTCCGAGGCTGTTTCTCCTGATCCGAAATCGTGCCGCGTCACCGAAAACGAAGTACTGGCAAGGGCAGGACTTTTTTGCTTTTTAGCTGGCAACATCACCAATCTTGGGCCCATAGCACTGTTCATCCGAAAGTCGCGCTCCATTCAAAGTTGCACACTCACTCGTTTGATTTGCCTGGGCCCTGGGGTGCGTCGTGGTGGTTGAAAGTAATCAATGATTCGAATCCAAATTGACTTTTTTCCCTCTCTGTTGGGATTCCCTTGCAGGTGATATGTCCCTTCCTATTTGACCAGTTCTACTGGGCGGAGCGAATGTTCTGGATTGGTGTAGCATCGGAGCCGCTAGCACCAACAGATGTGATGATTGACGGCATTGGGATGGACAAAGGGACAAATGAAGCTCAAGATATGGCAGAGCGATCTGCCCGACTGGTTGCCGCCTTAAGACAAGCATGTACTGATACAGTGAGGCAGACATCAGTACAGCTTGCACATACAATTAATAAAGAGGTGCGCATATCGTTCATGGTTGGGCCATGACACATCTCCGTTCATTCAACTTCTTTGGTAAGAAATGCTATGGATTTCAATATACAATGTCATTGTGCATCTCTTAGAAATATGCAACTGTACCGGGCCTGGTTTTCTGAATTGTACACTATAACACACATACAACATTTTCAGATCCAGAGTTCAAATCTCTTTTTTCTTTTTCTTTTTCAGATCTTTTTAGATCCACATAATGATATAACCTATTGATAAACAGAAGTGAAAGGTCTTCCACGATTCAGACCCCAAATTCGGACTTCAGGGTCAGATGCCCAGGCCGAGTTCGTCAAACTCAGAAAAGTCACAATCAGGTACCTCAGCAGTCTGGTCCAACAGGCACCCAGCAAACAGTCACGTTTCAGGGACAAGAGTCACGTCTCATAATAAAAACCATTCAGAAGAGTCACATCCCACGAGTGAAAAGGCAGATTCACCAAGCAAGAGTCATGTCTCAAAGGCAGAAGTCACGTTTCCTAATGAAAAGTCATATTGAAGAGTCACATCCCTCGAGTAAAGGCAGTATCACAGGCAAAAGTTGTGACCCACAGTCAAAAGTCATGTTCACAAGTGAAAAGTCATGACTCAAAGGCCCAAGCAGCAGCAGTCCAATGGAAATTCGGGAAGGTTCCAGGCCTTGACATTCAGAAGCAGACAGGCTGTGGGGATGTGGTACCGGAACCAGTCAGGACCCAAGAAACAGAGGCTGGCACGAGTTGAAGTGCAAACCAAGACTACAAAAGGACTGGCCAGCCTCCCATTCGGGCAGATTGCTCATTCGCAAAGAGTGTGGAAGTGCTGGTGCACTTGTGCGCTAGTGTGAGGGGCAGAGCACTGAAGCCGAAGTGCTTTTCAAAGAGGGAGAGAGAGAGAGAGGAAGATAGCGCTGGCAGAGAGAAGCCAGCCATAGCTGCGCCAACGCAGGGTGTTAGTGTTAGTATCTAGTAGTAGTCTTCAGAAAGTTAGTAGAGTGACAGTGGGTGTATTCAGAGTAGATCCATGAAGTAGTAGAGATACTTACCTGAGAGTTTATGTTGATTATTGGTTACTTATTGGCATATGCTGATGAGCACTGGTGACTTGAACTCTTATTGCTCGTGTAATACTTTCTGGAAAAGATAAGCTGGGCTACCTGGTCTTCATCTCTCTGGTCTCCAGTGTGAATTTCGTGTGAACTCATACATGCATGTGGTGTGAATATGTGCATTCATTGGTGTTGATTCTGTTGAACTAGGAGGTTCAGTGCAGAAGTCTTGAGCTGTGGTACTGGACATGCAGTGGTCTGTTTGAATCAACTGTAATGACCCGCCAAAAACACATACTGAGAACACTGCTGATTTCTGGGAGTTGCCACTGGAATGAATGCCTTGCTGTGATTCCGGCATTCTGCTGTGGTTTCCAAGTCTGTGTGTGTGTGTGTGTGCCTGCTGGTTTGCATGCCTGTCTGAGTGCTTGTCGGCTGAGTGTCTGTGTGACCCACAAGGGTACTTGTTGGTTGAAAGGCCCCGCAGGGCCGGTACTTACGTGTGGCCGTGACTTTGAGGGTTGCAGGGGGGAAAACACTCAAGTAGCGGGGGTAGGCCCACAACACTTAGAGCAGCGGGGAAAAACACTCGAGTAGCAGGTAGGCCGGTACCACTCAAGTAGTGGTAGGAGTGTCGGGTACTGGAGGCCGACCAGAAGAAGACAAAAAGTTGGCATTTTTAGAGGCTTGGTAGCCGTAGGCTAGAGGTAGGCCGGTACCAGTCCAAGTAGCCCGGGTCTAGGGCCCATCCGGAGGATAGCAGAGCCTGCAATGATGTTTCCCTCCGAAAGGGAGGAGGTACCGGTTGCTGGGAGGCCGCTCGGCCTTGGAAGTCACCGCCCANAGAGAGAGAGAGAGAGAGAGAGAGAGAGAGAGAGAGAGAGAGAGAGAGAGAGAGAGAGCGCTGGCAGAGAGAAGGCAGCCATAGCTGCGCCAGCGCAGGGTGTTAGTGTTAGTATCTAGTAGTAGTCTTCAGAGAGTTAGTAGAGTGACAGTGGGTGCATTCAGAGTAGATCCATGAAGTAGTAGATAGTGAGTGTGAATGCATGTAGGGAGAGAAGACACAGCGAGGTCATAGCTAGGGAGAAGACCAGCAAGGTGCAGAGAAACATAAGAGGGAAGAGCAGAGGGGAAGAGATACTTACCTGAGAGTTTATGCGGATTATTGGTTACCTATTGGCACGCGCTGATGAGCGCTGGTGGCTTGAACTCTTATTGCTCTTGTAATACTTTCTGGAAAAGATAAGCTGCGCTACCTGGTCTTCATGTCTCTGGTCTCCAGTGTGAATTTCGTGTGAACTCATACATGCATGTGGTGTGATGGTGTGAATATGTGCACTAATTGGTGTTGAAGGTTCATTGCAATCTGGTATCGGAGCAGTTACTCGTTACACCCATTGGACTTCGCTGGGAATGGTTAAGGTCGGCGAGGAGGGAGATGAGAGAGTGAGTTGAGTGGGGAGAAGACTGACGAAGGGGGGAAGAAGAAGGCCGAAGAAGAAGTCGCTTGCTTACATACCTGTTGCCGCTGCGTTGGAGTGTTGGAGCGGCCGTGGAGCTTCATCAACGGAACGTTCATTGGACTGAAGTGCATCCCCCCATTAAAACCTGTATTGCATGCTGACTTGTTTTTGGCGTTTGGAACCTTCCCAACCCTGGTGTCGCTGCTGCTGGGCTGGACTAATCCGTCACATACTCGATCTGTTTTGAGTCCAGAACCAGTCCGCTTATTGAAAAAAAACAAACGGTATATACATATATATATATAGTCCTGGGAAGGTACATATATAGTCCTGGGAAGGTACACGGCAGTCAGCAACAGTCAAACCCACTCGAGAGCTAGTAGTTAGTAGTAGGGGTAGATCTAAGTGGTGAGGAGGTGGAGGGTAGGTACCTGTGCCTTTGATCATCATGGACGATTACCCCATGTTCACACTCCTGTCCCTATCTGTGCTATGGGGACCTCTACTTTGCTTATTCTTTCCTCTTGGGTTCCAGCGGACCTTCTCTTCACATATGATGTTGAGGTCTGGAAAGTCAACGCAGGCTCAGACAGCTAAGGAACAGAGGGAGATAGACCGCCACTTGGCTGAGAAGAAAAAAGAAAAGGAGGAGAGGAAAAGAAAGGAGGACGAAGTGAAGAAAAAACTGTTAGAAGAGAAAAAAAAAGATGGAGAAGGAGATGAAAGAAAAGGAGAGAAAGATGATGGAAGAGTTGAAAGAAGAAGAAGAAGAAGAAGAAGAAGAAGAAGTACCTAAGAGCCTAGCTCAATGGGTACACCCATGAACTGTTGAAATACAGACCTGTGTTCGAATCCAGATGATGGAACTTGATGAATACAAACCAACTACTGAAAAAAAAAAAAAAAAAAAAAAAAAAAAAAAGAAGAAGAAGAAGAAGAAGAAGATGATGAGGATGGAGATAGGCTGGAAAGGAGGAGAACCCAGCGGCAGGAAGAAAAGGGTGAAAGCAGCCAAGCTGGGGAAATCAAGTTGCTGCAGTTGGAGGCGATGGACTGGATTGAGCAGTTCGCGTACAGGACGGAGTTCCCAAAAGAGACGGAGGAAGAGAAAAATGCTTTCATAAATAAGTTGGCATCAGCAGCAGATGAGATGGAGAAAAATCTACTGCTGGAGGAGAAGAAGGCATAATTAAACAATAAGATGGTGGCGGCGAAGAGACAAGAGTATAACGAAAAGAAAAGAATGAAAGAGGAGGGGGAGAGGTCGCAGAAGTTGCTGCAAGAGCAAAAGGGAAAGCAAGTTGCCACAGACGAACGGTTAGCTCTTTTGACGGAAACCCTCCTCCACACTAATGAAGAACTCGCTGCCCTCCATCGATCCGTCAGTAAACTAGAGTTCCATCAAGGAAAATTCGAGGGAACCTGGAACAACTTCTTGCACACAGCATCCCATCAAGTAGATGACCGGATCTTTGGTTATCTAAAACAGCTAGATGACGTCCTCACTAAGAAGATAACCGATCCCGCTGTGGTAAGAAAGTGAAGATTGAAGGTGGGGGAGGAGATGGAGGAGATGATGGAGATGGTGGGGACAGGAAAGGAAAGGGGGTCAAGAAAGAGAAGGACGAAGAAGCGAAGGAAGCCAGGCAGAAGATGAAAGTGAAACTGCCTTGGACTTTCATTGGGAAAAAGGAAGAAAGTATTTTCCATTGGGAAGCCGCTATGGGTACGTACCTGTATGCACATAAGATTCCGTACTGGGACCGGGTGTTGATGGCAAGTTTGTGTATGGTCGGGGACGCAATGAGTTTTGCTATCTCTTTGATGAAAGAGGCTGGCTGCGCAACCATGGTTGAATTTTCTCAACAGATATGAATTGAAGACTTCTTCAAAGCCCTTAGAGAAAGGTTCGAAGATAAGAACCTGGCCCGTAGGACGGAGCTTTTTATTCTTAACATTAGTGACCATAAATGGAAGAGTGCGTCAGCCCTTGAGGCCACAATGGATGAATTGTTGCAATGCCCGGATCACGGATTAACACTGCTACAGATCCTAAACGACTTCACTAGAGCACTTCCAGACCCTCTGAAAACACAACTATATCCTCGTACTAAAGAAGAAGGAATGACGTATGAGAAGTTCAGTAAGATCGCTGTAGATCATGCTGGCTTCCTACAAGAGGCACAGTATTGCCATTATCGGAAAGACTTGCAGGCTGGGAAGAAGTGGAAAGACCGAACAATCTCGGGAAATATAGCAGGCAAAGACAACTTACTGGTCACCTTCAAAGGAAGAGGGGTAGAGTCACTCACCTATGACCAGATAGACTATGGGTTAGAGGAAGGAAGCAATAGTCACTTAGCCCAGGGAGGGGACTATGCGACTGTTGCAGCCCGTGGGGGAGGGCGACAAGGAGGAAGAGGCCGTGGTAGAGGAAGAGGAGGCGGCGGTTGAGGTGGAGGAAGAGGACCCGCTGC